CATATTTGACGAAATTGCTTCAGTATAGGCCTACTAATAATGCAACAGATAGGCTACAAAATGCGTCATCAACTGTTTAACATTATCCGTCTCTTTTTCGCTTTTTTGTTGCGTAAATTTCACAAATGTTTAACTATTGACGGCTTTTTAATAATCTCATGCTGCCTGCAAATTCATCTCACAGCCGCTTGCCGTTCGGGAAGATCCTTTAAATTTAACATGTCATACGCGCCGTTTTTTCCTTTATACTTAAATCCATTCTTTTTCTATTTGAAGGAATCACCATTTTTAGGTAAGGTGGGTCTAGGTTAACTATAATTATTAGTAGAAAAAAAAAACTCACACAATAACTGTAGGCTAGCCTATGCCTAATCGAGCTATATCCACACGATCGACACAAGGGAAGAGCACAGAACGGTGACGCGGACTGTGTAATCGCGCGAAATGAGGTCACAGCACAACATCGACGGGAGACCACTCAGCACCAAAACAGTGTAGACGCGCGACTAGACTGTCCTTGGGTCGTTACCGCTAGTGATAACATTAACATTGTTCGGAGTAGATCGAAATACGTTCCATTCTATGTAACCGAAAATTCAGGAACACTGCTTAGGTAATTTCGAATATGATTCTTTAACAATAAACAAAGCGTTTGATCATAATAACCAGAGATCGTAAATAAAAAAGGATATTTGCTTTTAGCCTATGCATCAGTACAGCAGACAAGTCTGCAGTACAAACCCTAACAAAAATTAGCCATGACATTAGGCCTATCCATTATCAGAGGGATGATTCACTTGATGATACTCAGTAAGCTATAGGGATAGCAGAAGGCGGGCGTAGATAATTATAGTGTTTTTTTTCTTTAAATAAGCACGTGTAGTTGAAAGTTTATTTAAGCATCAAGTGTTATTAAACACAGCAAAAACAAAAATCCTAATTTTTTTTTATTATGTAGCTTAAGGATTCCACCGGATAACTATTACACAATCCCACCTTCAACAACGCCTCCCATGACGCAATACACCATCTGTCTGTCTTTAAACATTGAGTTAGCTGCAGTTGGGGGTTTTCAGTACACAACTGGTGCCACTAGTGGTGAGCAAGACTGGCGATAGAAGTGGTGAGCAGCAAGCACGACTGGTGACACAGGTGGTGAACATGACCAAGTGACACTCGTGGCGATCAACAAGCACGACTGGTGAGACTAGTAGTGAGCGTGACTAGTGATTCAAGTGGTGAGCAGCAACCATAACTGGTGACACTCTTGGTCATCAGCAAGCTTAACTGGTGACAATGACATTCGTGGTGGGTAGCAAGCACGATAGGTGAAACTATAAGGTGAGCATTAGTATTACAGGTGACATTAGCGGTGAGGAGCAAGCATGACTGGTGATGCTTGTGAGCAGCAAGAACGAGTGGTGACACTAAAGGGGAGCATCACTGGTGACATAAGTGGTGACATTGACTGGGAGAAGCAAGCACTACTCTAGTCACTACTCACACACAACTGCAAGAACCAAACCGCTAAACAGATGCAATATAAGGAACATTCTCCTTTTTTTTTTAAATTAACTTTTTAAATTAATCTGAGCTTGTCTTTTGTTTGTGCTACGCCAAGCTTCAATGATAACTGTAAAATGAAGATATGCAGTGTACACCAAGCCGAAGCTAAAACAAAAAAAATTTCCAACACATGTGTGATAACAAGTCCAGTGAGGTCATCAAATTCCAACAAGTGTGGAACAACATTCCCTATGACGTCAGATGTAGCCTACATCATCAATGATTTTATTGATCTCGAATAACTGAGGCTTGGGAGAGGGGGTAGCGAGGAAGCAATACGATGTGTGGCAATGGGGGAAAGGGGGGGGGGGAATGGAAAAGAGGGGCCATCAATACCATGACACGCAAAATGATGTCACCTTTGGGCACATGACATTTCTATAATGACAAAACCGACAAGAAAATTGGTACACCATTCTCTTTGTTAAAAAAAAAAAATCAAACTCATCAGCACCTAGTCTAGTTGTCGATATAATTTGACAACTCATAACATAAAAAGACTTTAAAAAATCGCGTAATAATCTCTGTCAGTACTTAAGTGCGTCACTGGAGCGATTTTCTTTAAATTGATCAGAACAAGTTAAATAACCACAGACGTATCTTTGGGCCAAAGTAAGTACTTACCTCGGTGGAGCTGTCTTTTTTTTTTTCAAAAAAAGCTTAAATAATCACACGTATTACTTAGGGTCACAATAAGTACTTACTTACCTCAGTGGAGCTCTTTAGTTTTCAAAAAAAGCTTAAATATGCACACACATTACTTAAGGTCACAGTAAGTACTTACGTACCTCAGTCAAAGGAGAAGCGAGGGGGGGCACATATGTCCCCGGAAAAATTAAATTGAAAGCTTGAGGGGGGGTGCAAATCAAAATCTTGAGGGGGGGGGGGGGGTGCAAATCGAAAGTTTGTCGGGAAGGGTCGCTACGCCTCTGACCTCAGTGGAGCTCTTTTGTTTTCAAAAAGCTAAAATAAATTAAATAATCACACGCATTACTCAAGGTCACAGTGAGTACTCACCTGTATCTGTGTCGCTGGTGATCTCCACTTTCAAATGATTGAGCTTGATACCGTACCTAGTCTTAAACTTATCCAGCCAGCCGACGCTGGCCTTGAACTCAGGATTTCCCCCCATTTCTTTATTAATCGCTATGGCAGCCTGGGCAATAGCCGGCCCTGTGAGGGGTACTCCATTATCGCGCTGCTGCAAACACCATTTGAACACCCGGTTGTTAACTTGTTTATACTTTGAAACTACCATCGATTTGTTTTTACAGTACTTAAAGACGCAATCGTTTTTTTCCATCTCCAAAACGTGGTTCGCAATTTTAACCGCATCCCGCCTGATGTCAGCGACCGTTGATCTTCCTATGCCGTAAGACGCTGCGATATTCATTACATTTTCTCCACTCTGGAGTCTTCGGATGACATCGAGTTTTTGAGAAAAATCTAAAACAACTCGCTTCCGTTTCTCACTCATTTTTTTTATACTGTCTAAACTAGCTACACTTCTACTTTTCGTTAAGACGGATAATATTTGAGAGGCTATGTAAAGCGTAAACTTTATAGCTAAAGAAAGGCTATCGTTGTTTGCCTAGGCCCTAGCACGAGGCTTCGGGCTGTAGCAGTCGCGCATGCGTCAGACTAAAAATAACCGCAACGCTGACGCGTGTAGTCGGAAAACTGAGACTGTCGGTTAACAGGAAAACGGTTTTAGTCAAGTTTTAGCTGCGCAGCGGATAATCGCAGTGGGGGCCTGCTCGAGCTGTTGTTAGTGTGGCCTGTTGTTGTAATGGAAGATCACAAATTTTACGTTTTGTAGGTCTCCTGAATGTACGTTGTTACTTCAGTTTATTTGTAGATTATCTACTAATACTATTACTATTGGATTATAATTTGATTTTTAAAAAGAATCCTATGATGAAGTACAGTTCATGTTTCTGAAGGGAAGTGTGTGATCAGCACTTTTCCTAACATTATTACTAAAGGAGGTTCTGCTGCCTTGAACCCGGATTCAAACTCGAGTCTTTCGGGCTAATTGCCTTGAGCTCTACCGCTTAGACCACGCCGTCCCATAATTTAATTTAGGGATACCTTGTTGTTTTTTTAAAACATTAGCACTCAGAGGCGTAGCGACCCCTCCCGGCGCCCGGGGACAAACTTTCAATTTGGCGCCCCAACCATATATTTTTTATATTTATAATTCCAAATAGCAGCTAAATAAGCTTATTTTGGCGCCCCTAAGGGCGGCGCCCGGGGACATATGTACCCCCCCCCCCCCCGCGCCGCTACGCCTCTCTTAGCACCTTAAATATTTCTTTAAATGGCTTAGTCTCGAATAAATCCCCCAAGAGGATTATGTAAGAATATTTTAACCAATACTTGCATGTTCAACAGTAGGACTTAACATTAGATCTATATTGCTCTACTTAACGTTGTCATGTATGATAAACCGGACCCCCCCCCTTACACTGCAACAGTCTTTTACTACTCAAATGTATGGATGTCAGAGAATAACACAGAAACCCATTCCTGGTTTGTTTGTTTTTTTTTGGTAGTCAAAGTATTAAAGTGTTTTACAGAGATGTATTAATGGGTTTTCACAAAACATTTAACAACACGCAGGAGTGTTGGTTGTACGAATAAACATGTTTTAGAAGACAGACAGGGTGTGTTATGTGTGTACCCACAAACATGTTTTACAACACACATGTGCTATGTGTGTACCCACAAACATGTTTTACAACACACATGTGCTATGTGTGTACCCACAAACATGTTTTACAACACACATGTGCTATGTGTGTACCCACAAACATGTTTCACAACACACATGTGCTATGTGTGTACCTACAAACGCAGGGCTACTTTCACCAATAACCAGGCTAACCTTAGATCCCGCCCCCCCCCCCCTCACCTTCCTCGGGACAAATAACACACGTGTTCACCTATCATCAACCAGTGACTTATTAATGGTTGACAGGTGAGCGATACGCCAACATAATTGTTCTTTTGTCACGCCACGTCTTAGGTTCAGGAGGGGGGGGGGGGTGACAAAATAGTGATTCGGGGGGAGAGGAGGTGGAAGAGGTTCATGAAAATATTGTTCATCTCTTGAGGCCGTCTTTTTTTTTACACCGGTAGCTGGCAAGAAGGGCATAGCTTCTATTATGAACATAATTTACAGTCTTGTGTAAGTCCAATAATCACTGCTAAACTTTTTATAAAGGACACCTGTAACATTGATTCACTTATCAAACACACAAAAAAGGTACTGCGCTTTATTTACACTAATGATGTTAAATATTCATTGTATGCGCAATTTGCTGGAAACATCTGTAGGGTCAAAGACGCCTGTAAAAATACGGTTAAATACATAACATGCATCTGCACATAGAGACACCCTTCTGAAACTGACAGGTAAAAAAATGTACTACCTGAACTCTTGTAGGAGCGCAATAAACTATCGGAGAGTTCCAGAATTTCCATCAGGACTGGAGACTTCGATAAGAAGGACTGGGATCGAATCCCAGTCGTGTTGTAATTCTTCACACCGAGCATCTGTGCTTGGAGTTTGTTCAGTCTTTCGATATCCTCGGGTGTGGTTTGCGAGGCTCTACCAGTAAAGGGGATCCCGAATTTTTGGGGGTCGGCTTGCCATTGGTGGAATGGTCGGTCGACTCCGTACTTCCCCTGGAGGGGTGGCTGACCCGGAAATGTTGGTTGCTCCGGAAGTGGTAGACCCAGATGTCTGTTGAAAGCAACAGTCGTTGGCACGTCGTTGCTCGTGGAGGAACATGACGAGAGTTCAAAGTTCTCCGGCAGAGGGAACTGGCCAGGCGACGAGGAGTAGGCCATTTCATAAGCCTTTTTTCTTATTCTATACTCCCTTGTACGCTCGGCTCCGCTCTTGGGTGTACGCCTAAGCGGATCGTCACTGGAACATTCGCCGTATAGAGCAGCAAGGTCTCTCATCGCAGTCATCTGCTCCATTGACGGAGGCATCAACGCCATTAGCCTTGCCTTTTTTCTTATACGATACTCCTTCGCCCGCTGTGCCCCCGTTTTCGCTTTCTTTTTCGGCGACTTGAGTGTCCGCATCCTGTCACGGTATGCCCGTACGCGTTCAGCGTTAGAATTCGGCATGTCGGGGTCGTTTTTGTTTTTAAAAAAACCACAAATAACCAAGTCACAGTTTTTATTTCAGAACAAGCACGCTAGCCCACGGCACAGCACTGTGTAACGAAACGTTGAATCACGGCCTCTCCCTCCTCTGCCCGCCAAGGCGCACTAAATAACTGGGAGCGTAACGAAAATGTGTAACACGCTGTCTCGCCCGCTGACGCAGTGGCCTCGTTTCGTTACTGTGCTAATATGCAAAGCGGGCTGCAGCCAATAGCCAGTCGTGGCCCAGTTAACACTACGGTATGGCGCGTAATCGGTTAGTTTATAGTAATAGTATAGCAATTTTTATATTCAAAGACAGACAAAATTACAGTCATTATTAGCACTGAATATAACTTCATTTAAAATTTTCTATTTTTATGATTTTTTTTATTTTACAGTGGATATGTTTTAACCTTTTTTTTTTATATAACAAACGAATGGCCTGCTCATGGTTATAACAGAGGCAACAGGAAGGTTAATTTATTTTTTAAAAAAAAGACAAACAACTAAGGTTACATCTAGATCTTGATTCTACGTGATCAGCAACAGATAGATTTGGAACTGATCTAGATATTGAGCATGATTTTTTTTTTTTTGTTATTTAATAACCAGGCACATAATTATTGTTACAGTTCATTTAACCTAGTACTAGTAGGTTTAATCTAGTAGGTTTAGTAATCATGTAGAAATAAATGTTTCACGTAAGCATAGTTTTAAATTCATATTGATAAGTATTAACCTTTATTTGGTAGGGATTTCGATGACGGACATTTCTAAGTATCAAACACTGACACAGGTTTTATTTATTTTTTTAATCTATTATGGCCGTGTTAGAACTATCTTTACGTCAATCTCCAACTACTGGTGCGGTTTTTATAGTCTTTAAATACAATATTTAAAAGCGATAAGTGTAGTTTTTTTTAAGGGTTGGTTTTTTTTTCTGTCAGGGTCCAAGTCTTAGGAAACGATGGCACGTCATTTGGTAGTTACACTACTTGCACATGTTTTAAACAAGTCAAAGTTAGCAATACACTAACGCACAAATCGGGGTTTCTTTTAGACATTTTGCTCGGGGAGGGGGGGGGCTGCACTTTCGTGGAGAGAGCAGGAACTTATAAAATGGTTTAATTATACAATGGCGCCTCGAGATGCGAACTGTATATTCGTACAGTACCACAGTTTGCTCGTATCTCAAAGCAATTTTCCCCATTTAAATAAATTAAAGTACAACTAACTCCGTTCCAATCCCCAAAATGCCACCCAGTTGTTTTTAAATTAAAAAAAAAACAACCTCCTGATAAATTACAAATACTGTATAAAAAACATCAAAACACGTAAAGAAATAAACTGTTGTAACCAAACTTGCTGCCTCACCGTGCCTGTCGAAGGAGAGAATGCCAGTCCTTTTCCTGAAGTTATCGAACCAGCCCCGGCTGGCTTTAAAGAACTCTTCCGATGCCTCGTCCGTGATCGAACGCGGCGTCTGGGCCAACATTCCATCATAAATCGCTCGTGCCTTCTCGCAGATGATGCCCTGATTCAAGGTATCTCCTGCAAGCTGCTTCTCTGTCACCCACCCTAATAGCCTCTCCTCCATTTTTTCATGCAGGGAGGTCCGGAGCTTGGAAAGTATTGTGACGCCCTTAGCCAGCGTTACACCCTTGATTAACTCCTTCTGTTTCAGCATCGTACATATAGTTGAAGTACTCCGCCCGTACTGTCTGGCTAAGTCAGTCACTCGCGCGCCTTGCTCGTGTTTTTCTATGATCTCACGTTTCAATTCAATAGACATCATCTTTTTATGAGCACTCAACTTCCTACTCACTTTCTTCGGACCCATGGTTTTAAAAAAAAAAATGTGATAAAGTTCTGAGAATACACAAAGAGCACAGAATCCGAACACAGCTTATCAAAGAAGCTCCGACAGCGAGACGAACAAGCACATTGAAACCGAGGCGCTGGGGAAAAGCGAGACACGCGAGGCGCAGTGTGCAACCAACACGCTGACCCGGTTCCTCGTATCTCAAAGCAAAAAAATCTCTCGCTCGATGGCTCGTGTCTAAAAATATCTCGTGGGTTAAGGCACTTTTTTTTGTTGAGGTAAAAGTAAAGCTCCCTTAGCTATCCATCGGGTAGTTGAAGAAGGATTCACGTTTCTTGACCTCAGTATATGAAGGGATAGCGTGGGCATTACTATTCCTGGTCTCCGGGACTTTCCCCCAACGTAATTTGGGTGCCCATCAGAGCTGGGTGGATTCGGGGAGGTCCTAAAGTCACGAGTCCGAACCAAGATTCGAACACTAGACCTTCGGGATAGCAGCTAAGCATTCTTCCATTCGATCGCGCAGTTCCAGAGATTTTTTTAGGCTCCACAGTATATTTTCTATTTTTATGTAGTATTTTCGATTTTGACCGGTGCCCCCCCCCCCCCCCCAGGAGATGCCTGAAAGAAACACAAGTACGTAGGTCTATACCTAATTCACATAATTGGGTTAATTTATTTTTTTCTGCAGTGGAGTTTTGACTTCTTTGACTTACAAATACCGGTTCCTCAAGAAAATAAAATGATAGGCTATATAGATGAATGTCTACAACTATTAGGCTTAATTAGATAAATATAATGAACTTTAAAAAAACAAAACAGATATACTATCATACCTACGAAGTATCCGGTAGCTTCAGCTTTTGCTTTAGAATCACCGCCAAACGCTGGGGTTGCACCCGTGGGTTTGAAATTGTGCAGCTGGACCCTGGTTTTGAATCGATCAAACCATCCAATGCTGGCGGTAAATCGTTTATCGAGTTGATTGTGTTTACTTTTGACCTTGTTGAATAAACTCAGGGCTTTCTTCTGTATAACGGCTCGGCTCAGGGGTATATGTTTCCTGTTGCACTCCTCGATCCACGCCGCTAGCAGACGTTCCATCTCCATCATGGTCAAGCTCCGGTTGGTGGTCGAGACCTGCCAATCACCTAACGCTAGCGCGACCCTACCTTTTTCTTTTATCTCTTCTGAGTGTTTGATAATGTTACGCACCGTAGATTCGGGCATTCCGAGGTCGCGCCCAATCTTGTAGTTGCTGTGACCACGTTCGTGGCGCGCGATGACATCAAACTTTTGTTCCAAAGAAATCACCAGACGTTTCTTTTTACCAACGATAGAAGACAATATAATCGAATCGTCACTGCTATCCATGTTGAAAACAAATATTTCAGCCTTTATCAATAAACAACGGTTAAAACCGATTGATTAATCAAGCACATAAACAAACCTCTCTAGCTGAACGCCAACACGACACAAGTGGAAGATCCGCACTAACTGAAGTTTCAGTTCGCACTAAATCGAACAACGCATTACTCGAAACGCACTAACCATGACCTAGCCTTGACCTGGTAAAGATGTTAACTTTGGTTAAGGAGATCGGCGATTAAAATGCTCAGTAGTTTTTTTAAATAATAATAACTTTACAATGCTAAGTTTTTATTAATATTAATGTTTGGGTTAATTAATTGTAATTCATTGTCAAATTACGCATTTCCTTCCATATTTTTGAGTAATTAAAAAAAAATAGGCATGCCCCAACGCAAACCCAGTCAACATAGTTAGGCCTAGTTGTTTCTCCCGCTGATAACAGAACCAATCAAATTTTGCTTCCTTTGTACATATTTACACATAATTAGGTAATGAAAACAATTTACAAAAGGATCGGGTGTATTATGACAAAAAAAAATAAAATACGTTTTCAAAATAAATCGACAAAACTGTGCTGCGGTGTGAAACTAGGTCATGTTGATATCGAGTGGCTAGCCAGCCTGTAGAAAAATCGTGTGTACCATAGTCTAGTAGCAGTGTGTAGTTCCTGTTCGCGGAGACAGGCTAGTAAACAGTAACAAAAAAAAACATACTATCATACCTACGAAGTATCCAGTATCTTCAGCTTTTGCTTTAGAATCACCGCCAAACGCTGGGTCTGCACCCGTGGGTTTGAAATTGTGCAGCTGGGACCTGGTTTTGAATCGATAAAACCATCCATCGCTGGCGGTAAATCGTTTTTCGAATGGATTGTGTTTACTTTTGACCTTGTTGAATAAACTCAGGGCTTTCTTCTTTATCACGGCTCGGCTCAGGGATATATGTTTCCTGTTGCACTCCTCGATCCACGCCGCTAGCAGACGTTCCATCTCCATCATGGTGAAGCTCCGGTTGATGGTCAAGACCTGCGATTCACCTAACGTAAGCGCGGCCCTGCCTTTTTCTTTGATCTTTTCCGAGTGTTTGATAATGTTACGCACCGTAGATTCGGGCATTCCGAGGTCGCGCCCTATCTTGTAGTTGTTGTGACCACGTTCGTGGCGCGCGATGACATCAAATTTTTTTTCCAAAGAAATCACAAGAGGTTTCTTTTTACCAACGATAGAAGACAATATAATCGAATCGTCACTGCTATCCATGTTGAAAACAAATATGTCAGCCTTTATCAATAAACAACGGTTAAAACCGATTGATTAATCAAGCACATAAACAAACCTCTCTAGCTGAACGCCAACACGACACAAGCGGAAGATCCGCACTAACTGAAGTTTCAGTTCGCACTAAATCGAACAACGCATTACTCGAAACGCACTAACCATGACCTAGCTTTGACCTGGTAAAGATTGTAAACTTTGGTTAAGGAGATCGGCGATTAAAATGCTCAGTAGTTTTTTTAAATAATAATAACTTTACAATGCTAAGTTTTTTATTAATATTAAGGTTTGGGTTAATTAATTGTAATTCATTGTCAAATTACGCATTTCCTTCCATATTTTTTGAGTAATTAAAAAAAAAATAGGCATGCCCCAACGCAAACCCAGTCAACATAGTTAGGCCTACTTGTTTCTCCCGCTGATAACAGAACCAATCAAATTTTGCTTCCTTCGTACATATTTACACATAATTAGGTAATGAAAACAATTTACAAAAGGATTGGGTGTATTATAACAAAACAAAAAAATACGTTTTCAAAATAAATCGACAAAACTGTGCTGCGGTGTGAAACTAGGTCATGTTGATATCGAGTGGCTAGCCAGCCTGTAGAAAAATGGTGTGCACCATAGTATAGTAGCAGTGTGTAGTTCCTGTTCGCGGAGACAGGCTAGTAAACAGTAACACCATCTCGGATTATCGAAACGTCTAAAATGATTTGGGACATCTATTCTAGATCTATCTGTACGTTAATTTATGGAAAAGCTTAACATCACGTCACATTCATTAGCAAATGTTTATCGATCTAGATCTAGAGCAATTTTACTAGAAGTGGCTAGATCTAGATCTATTATAAACTATTAGGCCCCCTATTATTTTTAATAAACTTTTTTTTTTCAGTGTTACGTACGAGATAACTGTTAGAATTAAAAGGACTTTTCGTTTCTAGTCTAACACAGTGTAGATCTATTAACTAATAACTGAGTCTATAATCTAACTGTGTCGTGTAGATCTAGATTCTAGATCCGCTCAAGCCGGTGTGTGGAGTAGTGTAGACAAACTGCTAAAATAAAAGGTGTTTATTACGTTGATAGTGTCGTTTGTAATTAACGTAAAATAATGAAACGAATTAATTCTAGATATCTATGTCTTATGATATGGTAGGAAAATATGAATTCATATATGAATAGTGTAGTTATTACGCAGACATTGACCTAGTGTATAGCGACTATAGCCTACATTAAAAAAACCCACTAAAATAAATGTTTAAATGTTTACCTTTTGTTGCTAAAACGTCGTTGGTAGGCCTATGATAATAATTTTCATCCTCACCGTTTCCACGTGTAATCGCATTAAGCCGGTCGATATTTATTTTAGCACGAACTTTGAACCTTGCATACCACCCGCGACTGGCTTTGAAGTCTTTATAGTCTTTATACTCACTATTGGGTAGGTATGTTTGTAAAGTGGAAGTCCTAAGCTCGTCGTAAATGCTTTTTGCTTTCTCACATATATAGCTCTTGTTGAAATTGCAATCGCCCCACATGTGTTTATCGTGCAACCAGTTTGTCAGTTGGCTTTCCATTTCCACGACATAGGGATCAGAATTAATTTTAACCGTTGCATCGGGTACTGTTACGCCCTTTAATTTGTCTTTTGTTTTTAAAAAAGTAGAAATGGTAGAAGGCGAGATACCGTAAAGTCTGGAGAGCTGCTTGACCCGAAAGCCTTCTTCATATTTGTTGATGATTTCCTGTTTTAATTTTATTGTTAGTATCTTTCGTTTACCTTTTCCACTCATTTTGTTGGTCAACAAGTTGTTTTTTTTTACGATGCTAAATTCACACACTGCAGTACCAACATCGACTTGGGTAATTGTTTTAACTTTATTTCCAACAAAAAGAATGAAACAAAGACGGTCTATCGACCAACAATTCCGAACTGTTTAGGTTAGATCTAGAAATTAGTTTAAGGAAGAACTCGCACCGTTTTTCGCCGGCTTCAAGATCATTCTTTGTGTGCGGTACCGATGCGGTCGTTCTGCGAAAGCGTTCGTTGTTGTGTGCAGTGTGTAGTCTGGGTCTGGTACAGCCCGGAAGTCGCGCGATCTGCCTTTCTGCGGGAGGAGGAGATGGGGGGGGGGGGGGGGGGGGGAGGAGATGGGGGGGGGGGTTGTTGGCACTAGTAGGTGAAGTTTTGGGTTAGCCAAAATTACCGTCACTAAACCTAAATACTCCAAGATAAGTCCAAAGATGCTCACAGAAAGTCACGATGAACTGCAGATTAGTGCAAGCACAGCGTTTGCGTTCTATTTCTGTCTTAAATAAAGCAGGCTAGCGTATCGAATGTATTTCAAGTTTAAGCTGTGTATTAACGAAGAACATACTCTAGATGCCTGAAACAAAAAACCATTCTCATTGGGCTTTTTAATTTTTCTATTTGAAACGGGACTAAACTATCACAGTTTCTTTAAGGCATCTCTTGGGAAGGGTGTGTGTGGGGGGGGGGGGGGGTGATAACACTGCACCACCTAACCTCCCCACCTGGACGAAATACAATAAATATATAACCAGTGTCGTTGCCCCCCCCCCCCCCCCCCCGGGAGAAAAATATGTGAAAGAAACTGTTAACTGGTCAAATGGACAACGCGTCTCGGCGCATGGCACCAATGTGTAACCCAAGTCTTGGATCCTGCTTCGGTACACTGCTCTGTCTTTACATAACGATTTCTCATGACCTTCTTTTGTTAGGACACTACTGGATAACACTGTATGGTAATGATTCTTTGAACAATACAGCAATTATGTATTTGACAAAGTCAAGCTGCCTCATTCCACAATTTCATCGAAAAGTAGCAAGTATGATAGGTGTCGATCTACTTCAATTGTAACTCTTATCCAAAGTACAGTTGGTTACTAAAGTATGGTACTTTATTTAAACAAACCCAGTTCATGCAATCAGTGTTTCTTCCAGACTTTTTTCTCTGGGGGGGGGGGGGGGGGGCGGTAGACTTTCTTTGGGGTGCGGATATATATATATATATATATATGTATATATTTTCTATATAAATTATATAAATTTCATTTCGTTCGGTGGCGGTAAAATTTGGGGGGGGGGGGAAGAAACTCTGCATGCAATAAGTTTTGTCTGTAGGTCAGGTGGCATCCGGTGTCACCCCCTCCACCAAAGACTACATGTATAGTGTACTAAATGTCACCTCCACCCCGATGGTGTCACACTGTGTCTTACGGTGTAAACAACGTTAATACGTTATTAAACTAACTTTTAAAAAAGCAGATTTTTTCCCCCAATAAAATCAGTTATACAGGTTTCCCACATTTGTTTGACCAAAAAATTCCCTGCTATTTTTGACAAAATTCCCTGCTATTTCGGTAAAATTCCCTGCTACTTTTCATACATTTTTCACGCGCAAAACCACTCAGACAAAAAAACTTGAAATGTGAAAATGAAAAATAACATACCAAGTGCAGCTTTTATTTCCTGAAATACTAATACCAACGACGAAGTGGAAGGTGCCAACGACGAAGTGGAAGGTGCTACAGATGTAGCCTGAATGGTAGGTGTGTTTGAATTAAAAAAGGGCAATGCAGGCATTGACTTGTGAAGGTTTACCTTCTCCAAGTGCTTTTTGCTCTTCATGTGTGAGGTGAGAGCTTGCCTTCCCATTGATTTGATGTTAACTGATTTGCTGCACAACCTGCAAAATGCTGAGTAAACTGTCTTGTCACGGGCTATCCACAATTTGAACTCTGGATTGTCCAACCAGCAACTTTGGAATGAGGAATAACCCATAGGCATGGTTCTAAAAAGAATTATATGAAAAGTGAAAAGATCTAGAATCAAGACTCAATGTACAATGCAACTTTTAACAATTTACAAGCAAGACTAGAATACCATACAGGACTAATACTATTATTATAAAATAAATCTACCTAGATCAAAACTCTAGCACTTTCTTACATTAAATATTCTAAAACAATTCAGAAATTAATTTCTAATATAAATTAATAATTACTTCAGTAGTAATTAAATCTTCAAAAAAAAAAATAATAATTAGTCTAAACTCAGATCACTAGATCTAATTCCTTCAACTTTTGACAAACCAAACTAAAACTGCCCAGGGTCTAGACTAGATCTAGAATCTAGATCTATATCTAGATTTAAATTTTAATTAGGCATAATCTAGATCTAGTCCATCCTAGATATAGAATTTTTAGTTTCTAGATCTAGATTCCAGTCTACAACTGTATAACAATCCTTAGATATAGTGAGTTAGATCTAGACTCTCTAGATCTTAGCTATATTATTTAATACGAGCCGACCCGCAGCGTATCATACGCCGCTATTTAGTTGTTTTATTTTCTACTTTTAAGTAATTCATAATTTGTGAATTCGACAGTACCAATGCTGCCACTGAAAATATTTGCTTTAAAACACTAACCCCCCCCCTTTCCCATAACCCCGACCCTACCCCCCGTGAAAGCAGCCTCCTCTTAGTTATTTCTTAGTTACCTCCTGTAAGTTTAAAATCGAACTAAATTATCTGCCCCTAATAGAAACCAGGCTCTACGATTTGTAAACATTTAGCTTTGCAAACATTTAGCGTGACCACAGCTCACCAGACAATGTGGGGGTGGGGTGGGGGTGGTAGTGATAGTAATGCTTTGTATTTAAACACAAGACTAACGTATTTAATAGCAAACATCAATACATTTCCATACAAATAGAAATTAAAGGGAAATTACTCA